CCCCCCCCCCCCCCCCCCCCCCCCCCCCCGTTCAATTTACAGCTTGCAATTATGTGAAGGTTTTGTCGCTGGTTCACCAGAGTTGAACGGATATATACTGTTGTCTTTCATCAGAAGAGTCTTAGCGCCATTCAGGGTTTTTTTTGTTCATTTACAGACGCGAAAGCAGCGTTCCATCCCATAATTAGCAGCACTTTGATCCTCAGCGTCTCATGTTGCAATCGGTTTTACAGCATTGATGCCCCAGTGCCTCTGTTCGGACTTGTTTATAACAAAGTTATGATCAAATCCCTTAATGTCCGCGTTGAGGTCATAATCTACCCCACCGAAAGCGTTTATGACACTTAGCGGTGGATCCCGCGCTGTATCGACACAATAAATCTCCCAGTGTTCCAACGTGGAGGTGCATTTCAAACCACTCTGCACTAAGCTCCGTCCTGCCTTTTAATCTGCCTCGTGTCAGATTGCATCCTGATGCTTCCCAAATCGCTCTAATAGAGAGTATCCGCCGCTCGGTGTCGGTACTAGGAAGGCCCTTCTCGCGCTTCTGGCCGTGGCATAACTCTTCTAATTGGTTGATCTGCCTGGCGTCTCCAGCCCTGGAGCGGGCGGATTAGAGGGGCCGCTCGGTAGCCGCTGCTGTGTGGATTTATATAGAAGCGTGTCTGCTGAAATGATCCACTTCCAAACATCCAGAGACCCTCCCTCCCTCTCTAGCAAGTCCCGCAACGCGCACCACAAGTGTGACAAGATGCCTGCAGCCGTGATTCCCGGATCTTTGCCCCACCTCAGGTTGTTGGGTTCATTGGTGCCACAGTAGGCCGGGGACATATAGGCCTAATTTAGCTGGTCATAGTGCAATCTTAATTCCCTTTGAAATATGAGAGAACGCGGAATTATCTCATATATTTGCTTTTCTGGAAGCAACAAATGCAGTTAGATTACTCACATTTTCTTTAATGAAAACAACGCATTATTAAAAATACTGAAATGAGGACGTTTTACAATAAAATGATCAAAAAGAAAAGTTTCAGATATTTCAGTGGAAATATGTTGGTTTAGAAACTGTACGGTAGAATCTATTAGCGCCGTTCTTTTTTTTGCAGCGCCTTCCTCCACCCTAGACACGTAAAAAGTGCTCCGCAGCAGTTGTTCTCGTCTCCCCCTCTTTGATCATGCCATGAAACCTCTGAAAAGAAGCCGAGCTTTCCTGTGCAGAGCTCCCACACACACTCCTCCACTTTGAACACGGCGGCGTCGGAGGCACGAGCCTCCAGCGAGTTACATTTATTTCCAATTTTTCAGATGATAAACACAATCTGCAAGTGTTCAGAAAGGGAGGCGTGAAACAAAACATAACTTTGCCATAATATAATATAAACAGCATTAGAAGGCAGAGTTATGGAGAAATAAAACGATGGGAAAGGCACACACGGTTTTTGTTTTAGCCTGTGAGAGAATTGAGCGTACCGATGTAGTATTAATATGCATCATCAGCCCGTGACGCTGATAAGCCTACATTGATCTGACCGACAACATAATTGGCTATTCATAAAAAAAAATATATATATATATATATATTGTGCCGACATAGAACTAGCAAAATGACAGGTGCTCTTATTTGGCGGTGGGGTATTTTATTTGAGACCTTTGTGGTTTTTATTCGGCGTGCCCTCACGTTATGCGCGCGTGGGCGCGCAGTTGTTGATTAATAATAAATTATACATGCGTCAGTTTACATAGCAAGTAAGTCAAGACAAAAATGGCATTATCGACTTGGCCTTTGACCGCAGTTCTGACTATTGCTTTCTTGCTGCTATTTAACCTCTACATGAATCGTACTGTTTCAACAGGGATTCCCTTATTTTGCCACACATTTTGTTGTTATGATTTCTTTTTAAATTCCGATTTAATTCAAACAAAACGAAAAACAAAGATTGCACAATTTAATTTAACGTTTATGTAACCAAACCGACACCGCAGCACAACCCATTAAGGGGTTAATAACTGAAAACGAAAGTAAGGAAGAAAAGATCATTCACCCCTTGTTTGGTTTATTTTGACTTTGGATATGACACGCCAAGTCTCTTCAGTCAGTCCAAAGATAAAATATCGAATACATTGAACTGTGTATAAAGAGAACTTAGGATAAAATAGGTTATACGTTGTATTTATATGCAAACACGTCAGATAAATTGATTAAGATAAAAATGATTCATTGAATTAAAGGAGCAGCACGATGATAGTTTACCTCAAATGAGTTCATACCTCAGAGGTCTTTAGATTCAATGTGAACTTTATATATCAATAGGTTAAACATAGACTAGCCTCTTTGCATTGATTAATGTCCTATTAGGTTTGCATTTTGAAAATATATCCTAAGTTAGACGTTTTTAGCTTCGAAAATGATGAATTGTACAACTAATATGTAAAAGAAATCATAGAGAGAAAGAAAACTTTTTGGTGGAGGTGTGTGTCTGTGTGTGTCTGTGTGTGTGTGTGTGTGTGTGGGGGGGGGGGGAGTTTTCGGGAGCTGGCCATGTGTACAGTAGGCGACATGCGAGAGAGAGAGAGAGAGAGAGAGGGAGAGAGAGCAGGGCGATGGATGAGTTCAGGGATGGTTTATATAGCAGTGGGTGTGAGCGCAGATCGCAGTCAGTTCATTACCACCGTGGCGCTCAGCGCAGCTCAAGTTGAAGGCGACCGATCTTCACGACGACACTTCAGGGAAAAGCTAAACTGCAATTTCGAAAGACAAACAATGCATTGCTTAAACGCATGAACTGCACTAGTCGCACGGTGAAAACCCGCAGAGCCTTGTAATATCAGTGAAAACAGAATATTGTGCAGCGAAGGTAGCGCACGGCGCACAGGGACAGATCATGCACTGTCAAGCCGAGTTGAGGCTCTCCTCCCCCGGGCAGCTGAAGGCTGCCAGACGGCGCTACAAGACTTTCATGATTGACGAGATCCTCTCCAAGGAGACTTGTGATTACTTTGAGAAACTTTCTCTCTATTCGGTGTGTCCTTCGCTCATCGTACGGCCGAAGCCTCTTCATTCATGCTCCGGTAAGAGGTTTTATGTTGTTGTTGTTGTCAATAATTTAGACAGAAGCAAATTACAAAACAAAAAAAATAGCTGAAAGGCAATTATTGCATTTGCAGATTGGTGGGAAAATTAGAGGTTATTTGGAAAACAATTTTGCGCACGAGATCAATTTAATTATTAATCTATGTTTTATTTAAATCAAAGAGATGCTAGATTTTAATGGGGCATAGATCATGAAATGTGGATTAACAGTGCAGAAAGTTTAGTGAGATGTAGGTTGTGTGAAGTGTGTGATCGGTGATGCTGGTGTAATACACACAATATTACCATGAAGTTGTAGGCCTAATTATTATTATTTTAAAATTACAATTACCTGTCCAAGCAACTGTGCATATGGGAATATTGATATTTGTGACAATTACAAATCATCATTCATTTATAATATCATTTATTTAAATTAAACAAATGCATCAATGTGTTTTTGTTTGTCAAGAAGTTTAAAATGAATCACAATTCATTTATGCTTCCTCCACAAGTTGCACCACCTTCCTCACTGCGCTTGACATTATATGAATCACTGCAGCCAAGTTTTGAAAATCAAAGACATGCAGTAGAGTTGGTAAATGTCAGTGATGCTTCGTGGTATTTGTTGAGCTGATGAATGACTCAATTGATGAGTTGTTTTAGTCAATTAAGTGGTAGTTGGACAGATAAAAAAGAAAAACATAGTTGTCAGTGGTGGCTTTAAACTGTTGTCTATTTGACAATTGTATTTGATTAATTCTGTTATTCTGTTTAAAGGCCTTCCCTAATGACATTTGCAAATGGGAGGATTGTATCTTGTTAGTGCGCTACTGTGTCACAGAAATCTGTGACCTAAAGTTGTGCCCCCAAAAAAAGGTGTTGTTTACAGTGTGGTGGTGGTCCTGCCACCCTATAAAAGATGAATTATACTGCACACGGATTCGTCTGGATTGATACGGAAGGAAATATAGAATGAAAACAGACAAACTTAATTTAAAGCTGATCCCTTTGAATGATAATCACTCTCCTACCAAATTTTCAACAGCCCATGAAGCGTTTTCTCTCTTTTCCCCCTCGATTAGATGGTAAGAACGATCTAGATCTCCACGCGATAGATACACTGACAGATTACAAAGCCCTTTCGCTGTGTCTTGTACTTGCTGAAAACAACCAAAATAGTATAACAAAGCTCAGTCGGGACAGCACATGTTATCTTGTCAAAACAAAACTTCCTGACTGATTCTTAATTGCATCTCCAGATGAATCCAAACAACTGAAAGGCTACTGCACACTCCAGTAACCATTAGGATAATTGCTCTAAAGTCTGAAATAATAGCCACTGCAATTTGATGACAGCGGTGGGTGGATAAAAATAGGGGACGCGATTCCCTCATCCCTCTGATATAGATTGGTGTATGCGAGAGGGCACTATGACTGGGCTCTGGCACCCTTCTGTTCGGCTGGATAGAGTAACCCGCCCTGCATATCAGAACACTGTGCCCACCACTTATTTGTAGCTGCGGGGGTGTGAGACACAGTATATTCCCTAACATCAATGGCTTTTGGTGCTGGATATAGAAGTTGGCAGGCTTGCAGGTCCTGGGCCAAAGACAGGCGACTGGCTCCTGCGCTGCCCCTTAAACAGTGAAAGTTGACTTCTTAGTTCTGCAAAGGAAGGGATGCTATAACCTTCTGCTACCAGCGGAGGCCGCCGAACGACAGTGATGCCAATTATGCTGCCTGAAGGAGTTGACAACAAATGAGTTTTGTGTGGTGTATGTCACTGGTATGTCACTCAAACATACCAACATAATTGTCTTCCTGTGTTTTGTTTCGTGGCATTTCACTGTGAATCTCAGTCTAATTATATTTCTCTGAAGTGAAATACAGACCAAATTGTTGTACAGTCAAAGTGGCTAATACCCGAGGAGCTAATTCCCTGTCAGTTACAGCAGGATCAGAGACAATGAGCCCTGACCTGGTGCTGAACAGAGAACAACGTAATGGCAGGTTACAATATTTCATTTGGAGTCCCATCTTTCAGCAGGACCCAGGGCAGGGCTTTTAGTGGTGCTCTCTGGAAGAGGTGAGAGAGATTAAGATCAACTGTGGTGTAATCTCACCTGACAGCACGATGAAGAAAACCACAGGAAAAACAAAAAACAGGAGTGTGTGCAGCCCAAGGGCCGCTGCATACTGGTTTTGTACTGGCTGAGGGCTTATAGAAGAAATCCAAGTGAGCTAAAGAGTTTTCATCCCATCTTAAACCCTAATCCGCTGCAGACAATAACATTTCCCATTAAGCATGAATCCGTCTTGAGAAGGTTGATTACACCCATGTCAACACACACGGGCAAGTATGCACACAACACAAAGACGAAATGCGCGAAGATGTTCCATCTTCAGTTGGGGATAATGTTCGACAAGCTTTCTACGCAGCCACTGCCATCCGATTTTTTCTATCTGGACAAAGGATCAGTAATGAATCAGTTCTAAAAGTAGTAGTGGAACAGGCCGATTTCAGCTGCCACAGGAAGACATGTGCGGATCCGGTTACAGATTAAATAGTTAATGCTTATGTTTAATGTAATGCCTGGCAGGAACCTTCAGCCGGAGAAGTTTGTCAGTGGGCCTGGATAAAAAAACTGTGACAACAAAACTCAATGAGATGCTCCTGTCAACATCCTTCCACCATTTGTTAATAACCAGCATACAATTGCTCCAATCATTCCCTGTAGGTGAAAGATTCTAACTAAAAAGCACTCAGTTAGGACAGATAAAGATGCTGTGTGGCCTGTTGCCCTTCTCACCCAGATACTGTTTGATTTGCGCTCAAGGGGCAAGGCTTAAAAAAACAAACCCAAAAAAAAGAACCCCGTTTAACTGAGCTGTCACCAGGCAGTTTATTTCCTAAAACATATCAAACATTAATGTACGCCTGTCATAGATAAGCAATGAATCATCCATTTCAGCATCCTATTGACAAAAAAAAAGATTATAGATTACAGTGAGCAGGCTGTAGCAGGAAATAAGATTCATTTGATAAGACTCCTGTCCTAATAACCACATGATCAATAGAGCGAATTGTTTGTATTAAAAGGAATTCTTAACAAACGTTCTTGATCTATTTCGAGCAGGTATGTCTTCTGCGATGGTCACCATAAGCGCTTGTGCCGGTCCTTACATTCCGACTGTGATTATCAAGAGTATCAGTGTGCTTGTTCATGGGGCCGATTTGTTCACTTGCAGCTACTCAAACAGTTTATTTGTAGACTATTGACAGGACACTGGCACTTGTCAACAACATGTCAGAGAGACGGCTTCGCTGTCAGTGGAAAGTCACGATGGCTGACATTCCCCTCTTTGCTCTCTCTCTCTCTCTCTCTCTCTCTCTCTGGCGCTCCCTCCGAGGGACTGTCCGGAGACAACTTCAAGCTCTCTGTTGACAAGAGATTTCCTGACAATCGTGGAGACAAACCGAGATGTTATTTTCTTTCCCCCATTCAGTATGACACTCTCCCTTCACTTTTGTACACAATTCGATACACGTTCATGTGGAATTCCTCCTATAGAGGCACTTTAAATCAGATGATCTGATGATATCGGAAAATCTAACATTTACACACACACCTGATTTACGGCGAGAAAAACGGAGAGCAATATAAATGGAAAGGTATAAATGGAGAGAGAGCGTACAACCAGAGAGAAGAGGTCTTCTTGTCTAGACTTGTTGCAATAGCAGCAATCTCACGTTGGAGGATTAGCAATGATCTCAGCGCCTCACCATGATGTCATGATGAGCCCAAGGCAGTGTCTGGTGTGTGTGTGTGTGTGTGTGTGTGTGTGTGTGTTTTTCTGTCTGTGCATGAGTGAAGAGCAACTGTGCCTACCTGGATGTGAACTGGTGTATGTGGGGGTTATTGTGAATTTGTGCAGTCTATACGTGTAAGCATCTGCATTCATGTCCTACTTACTACCCTGTAAGTTTAGAAAAGCAGACATGCCCCACTTCCTCTTGAGTCGTCTTCCTCTTCTTCTCGCGTCTTCCTCTTGCGTCGTCCTCTCGAGTGGTCCTCTCGAGTCGTCCTCTCGAGTCGTCCTCTTCTTCTCCTTGAGTCGTCTTCTTGAGTCGTCTTCTCCGTCACATTTGTACTGAACATATTTTATCCCCTGCCTTAAGACATAAATCAATCAAGGAATGGGAATAAAGAAAATCAAAGCCAACGTCTGACTTGTGGGCTTTTGGGTTTTCTGTTGCAGTCGATGAGGAGATTAAGGACACAGATCCACCACAGACATTCTCCATGTTTGATAACCTCCTATTTTCTACCCTCCATTGCAGCCTTTTATCTCCCTCTATATCTTCCACCTCTAATCCCATAATCCCCACTGTGTCCTTTCTGCTGCTCCTTATCGGCCCATGCAATACAGCCTGCGCTGTGCTCCGTTGGCTTGTAAATTTTGGTGAAGGGATTGATTTTATATTTGAAGCCGTAAGGATTTTTCTGGCAGATATTATATTCACTTTGGTTGACCCACCGCATCCTCTCGACCAACCTCCTGGTCTCCTTCCCTCCCATCTTGGCTCCAGACAAGTGTTACTTTTTATTGATTCTGGCGTCTTGCTGCTTCTGTCTGTGCTGATAAAGAACAAAAGTGTGTATGTGTGTGTGTGTGTGTGTGTGTGTGTGTGTGTATGACTGCGTACATGTGCAAGAGTGAGAGAGAAAAGTTTATTAGCTGAACAGTGTTTGATTTAGTTTTTCAGGATTTTATTACTGCATGTGTCTGTGTGCATGTACATCATGCTGTCAGACATGTGGTTTTGTGCTGGGAAGCCAGTTATTATTTAACAACCGCTGAAAAATAATCATTCATTTGAAGGGTTCAGAGAAGCGGTGTAAAACACAGTCTGCGTCATTGGGGTCGCAGCCCTCTACATGGAGGGGGTCAAAAGCAAAACACTTTCCACAGCAAACGCAGGTCAATTAAAAATGAACCCGTCCTGTGCAATTACTGGCGGTCGATAGTGGTACAACAAAGGTGACTGAGTGGCACATGAGAGCTCACTAAAAAGAGTGATTCAAAAAAAGATATCTAATCTTCTTTTTTTAACCCAGCAATCCTCTGTTTCTGTCTCTGCTCCTCCAGGCTCCTCGTCACTACGTGCCTACCCTCTCCTCTCGGTGATCACGCGGCAGCCCCCCAACCTGCCCCTCCACCTCCCGCAGCCGTCATCCCCGGTCGGAGTCCCCGCGCACCTGCTCTCCCCGCAGCATCTGCGGGGCTCCGAGCCCTCGCCCAGCCAGACGCCCCTCAGCATCAGCAGCGAGTCGGAAACGGAGCGCAGCACGCCCCGCCTGAAGAAGCCGCGCCGCAGCCGCACCATCTTCACCGAGCTGCAGCTGATGGGCCTGGAGAAGAAGTTCCAGAAGCAGAAGTACCTGTCCACACCTGATCGGTCAGTGCTGTTGAGAAGCCCTCTCTCTCTTAGAATTGCAGTAAAAGTCTGTTACACATGAATACACAAATCAACAGCGCATACACACACACACACACGCGCACACACTGAGAGCTGAGGCAACACATAAACCTCATAGCTACCTAAAACGATTTTGTGATGAAGTTACTTAAAAGAAAGCAAACCACTGGTGCGTTAAAGGCAAATAATAGCTCAATTATTACATTTCAACCAAACTTCAGTCAGCCATATAAGCTTCACTCAGCCGTGGCATTCTGATAACCTACATACCTGGTATAGAAAGTACACTAGATGCACACGCACCCACACACGTTCACAAAGCCACAACTGCAATTATCAAGCAGCGGTTCACCTAACATCATCATTTTTTTGATTTATCCTGCGTTGAATGTCTCATGTTATATGAATTTGTCTAAGCCAGAGCATTACCTCAGCATTTCTAGTCGAGACAAGAGTAACGTTTTAACCCTGGGCGCTTCGACAGCAAAAAAGGCCCCAACAAAGAAACACTACCTTATTCAAGAAGGCGGGGACGGGGGCCAACACAAGCAAACAGTAATGTATTACATTGATTTACTGCCAATCATTTCACACATGTGCAGGTGTATAGAAAGTACATTTCTGCAGTGAGATGAAGTAATCTGCATGTTAATATCTGTGTCTTAAGTTCCATTTCGTGGGTCATTTTTGGGACCTGACATGAGGTTAGACTATATTTTCCAGTTTTATTGTAAGCCTCACTTTAATATTTGGCCTGCACGCTGCTTTTCCATCATAACCAAGAATACTATTGAACCATATATGTTGTAAAAAGCTTTCCTTCACTTGCGCACATTTTAAACTGCTTGTGAACCTTTGCATCAGGCAGAGATTGGACATCTGTACTCTCCACCCCCATTACTCATCCATGTTTTTACTGAGAGTAAATCAGCGTTTGTTAGAAAACACAACTGTCTTCATTCATTTAGACATGCAAATTGCTACACAGTCTCACACGTCGCATCCTCTTTACAGCGTATCTGCTTACCACACCTAATCTGAAAAGATATTTGCATATATGGAATAAACTAGATTTATTTGTCATTACATTTTACCTCCCATCTGTGGGGAAAACTCCCACAGTGTATTATTAAATATATCACATCTTGGCTTGCCTGGAGCTGTTGGGAAGGCGCCATGCCTCATCTTAAAGCAGAAGCCCCGAGGCTGAGCACAACTCACTGATCAAAAACCAACCACCCTTTACGAATGGCTGTGCCAAAATGCTGTGTCCTGTCAAAATATCGGATTCTGACACTGTGTTGAAAATTAATTAAATACACAGCTGGTGGAAAAACATCAACAGAGAAAATCCTCCTTTAAAGCCCCACATCAAAGGTGTGGCGTGCTCCCCACTTTGGTTTGTTGTGATCCAAAGATAACTGTTCTTTTCTCTCCCTTGGAACCTCTGCGCTTTGAATTGAGACTCCACAGGCGGGGGCGGGAGGAACCAAAACCAGCCCTAAAAAAAATACTTATTTATTTATATCATATGGCATCAATGATTATATGCAGCTTACTATTATAATAATTAGTGTCACAATAATCCTCACTGTCACCATCATCATTATGAAAAAAAGGTTTTCAGTTACACCCAAGATTCCCTCGTGAAAGGTGTAAGAATGGAACAAAATGGCAGTCTTGCAGTAGCCTGGAAGGAGCAACTCAAATACTGTTTCTCTTGCTGCCAGTGTGCGGTTTCTCTCCATTGAGAACTAATGACCGTAAATAATAGGGCTATTTTCCTTTTCTGCAATTACTTTTCCTTACCTCCAGTCGTGAACTGCTACAGACTGGGGCACGCATGCTGGTGAAGCTTGATAGACAGCTTGATTGCCTGTATGTGTGGTGTTCTTTGAAGTGCAGATACACTCACACACAAACACAAAAACCACACACAGCTCTTTATGTAAGGTATTATGTTATGTAGAGGATCCTGCGAATCCTGCAGCTCGGTTTTTAGATTCTTCTACATCTCGGCTTCCAGTTTCACCATCAAATGAAAGTCAGTTCCTTTCACTGGGGGTTGGGGTGGGGTGGGGGGTGAGAATCCCTTCATCTGACTGTTAAAGACTGAGAAGAGCAAGGAAGAGGAAATCTCATTAAAAAAAAAAAGAAAGAAGAATCCAGATAGCCACTCCTTTCTTTCACAAATGGATGCCTTGTTCACTTTATCTGTCGCTTCCTGAGATATTACATTACACACCAACCAATAGCCCCATTAGTCACGGATCAACACATGTGCTGGATGCATTCACAATTTCCTCCAACAGCACCTATTGTACAAGCGCCGTGTTTGGATTACGGACCTCGGTACAGATGTTTCAATTCAAGCAGTGTTTTCCTGAGCTGCAGGTGTACAGTGTCAAACTCAAGCTACGAGCGAATCAGCTTTGATGTGAGATTGAAAGACAGAGTTAAGAGTTTAAGAGAGGTCTTATGCTGTACTTAAGCGAGCAATGCTGGCAAACCTCTAGGCATGACGCTGCAATATATATTTGGTGGAACGTTATAAACCACAATTAGTGTCAAGATTCTTATCATTTCTATATTTTCCTGTCAGTGGGGCACGGCAAGCAGCAAAGGCTGAGACGGATTCTACCTGGTGCTTTTGGGAAACGTGCAGATTTTTGAAGCACGTCATTGAAATAGTATATGCCACCCACCCAGTACGGGCAGAGCAACTGACGATAAGGCCATCTAACATGCAGTTTGTTTTGTTTGTGATTTTGCAGGTTAGACCTGGCCCAGTCACTTGGTCTCACACAGCTCCAGGTGAAGACGTGGTACCAAAACAGACGTATGAAGTGGAAGAAAATGGTAAGAGACACAGTAAAGCCAGGCAAGTCTGGGTTGTAAAAAATCCTGGTATCTCTTCATTTTGCTTCAAAGTACAGTTTTTTGGTCCAAAAGCGTGGCTATGATTTCGCTGCTAACTCTCTGTTTCACGTAGTGCTGATTTAAACTTAAATAGTAAGGTAGCAGTATGACAGGCAGAGAGGGTGTGGTTCGAGACGTGAGCGATGACGACGGCAGGGAGAGCAAACACTTTTGTTTAAGGGTCGACAACTCAGAACAAAAAGGACCTGAAATCATTAAAGATAAATGAGTGCACAAGGGGCAGCCAGCAGCAATACGTCTTCTCTTAATTACTATAATAGCCAGCGTTGACTTTGACTGCTGCTGCCATTTATTACCAGTCCACTAAGATTGTCTGTGTGTTATTCTAGGTGCTCAAAGGAGGTCACGAGGCCCCGACTAAGCCCAAGGGAAGACCCAAGAAGAACTCCATCCCCACCACGGAAGAAATAGAGGCCGAAGAGCAAAGGATGAAGGTGGAGGAAGAGGATAGGATGAGGAGGGAGACAAAGGAAGCAGCGCTGGCTCACGAAGGAGAGGCGTCTCAGCTGGAACCTCAAGATCTCAGTTCAGTAACTCACAATCCGGCCGCAGCGATGGAGGAATCTGAGCGAGAGCTGCCGCTCCTGATGCAGTCAGAGACTCATTCAGTCAGCTAAGCAAGAACACAAATAACCAAAGACTGATGCCAACCTGAAAACAAATAGTGCCTCACGATCACTGTAAAAAGCCTGCGTGGTGTTTAGATCCATTTGGTTTAACAATTTGACTGGAAACATATTGCTGAGTCCAATCTTTACCCAACGCAGTCTTTTGTATTTCATCGTGTATTAGAAAATACCAAGAGCTAAAATGCTTAGACACTGATTGCACTGGTAAATATTTGGCCTTTAAGAACTGTATTTTAGCAAGACCCTGGCATAAGGAGTGTAAATCTAAGGTCATGTCAGTCAAAGCAGAACTTGCATCACTGCATCACCGTATTGCGCAACCATGAACGATCAAACTCAGAGCCGATCCTCCAAGCTGCCTCACAAAGCGCATGTGCCAAAATATCAAAGATTTGCCTTACCGTAGTGTCTCTATGTATCTGTGTATTATAAATCACTTCACTGCCAAAAGCTACATCATATTTAATGGCTACAGTGCCTTGTCGGTCTCAGAGGAAAGCTTTTAAAGTGTTGATGAAATAACTATCAAATGCAAGTATATTTTTTACAGTAGTTTTTGATTACAAGTTCCATTTTTGGAGACAGAGTTGTAAAGTTTTTGAAGAGCACTTCTATGTTCACTGTGGAGTTCCTCTAAACTGCTTTAAGGCGCAATTGTTTCATTATTTGCTGAGTAAAGCGTACATTTGTTATTTTTTTTAATTCTGAAAAAAAAATCCATATTTCTGCCAAGCCATACACTGTATCATACTGTAGAAATGTGTATAAAGTTTAAAATATTATGGTCTTTCAGATATATAGCTGAAACAGTATTTTTAACTGCTGTTTTAAATTGGATTAAAATAGTTTGTATGTATAATGTTACTGCTCTCCCTGATCTTTTTTCTCTTGTCATGGGAGTCAGGATGACTCTACTTTCTGCCACGAGGCCACTAAGACTCAAACTGTCAAGAGATTCTCAGAGGGCATAAATTATAGCCTGTGCCAAAGATTAATGGCAAATGCAGAACATTTTAAATCTCAAACCTCTTCAGCCTACAGGCATTGCATGAGTACCCCAAACAGTGTGTGAGACTTGCATTGACATAACACTGCCTTCAGCTGCCTCTCACTGCCTTCTTCCAACTCTCCTTTCTCCCCTCGCAAAGAATTGTAATTAAAGAGTTTCACTTTTTGAATTACACAGATTTATTTTTATTTGTTATCGTGTCATATATAAAAAGTGCAGTATTTTTCTGATGTAAATAATGTTTGTTTGCTAAGTTTGTTTGCATTTTTTTTAAAGTTTGTTTACAATCATTTTTACTATATACAAGTGTGTGTTTACGTATTTAAATACACTTAATAAAACAGCAATCATTTAAATTCCACTTGGTATTATTTGGTGCAATTGTTTGGAGTTGTGGTTAATAATTGTCAAAATGCATCATACAGATGCTGGTTTGACATGCTCTACTTTTTGCATAATGCAACCAGAAACTCAAAGAACAGATTATCTACTTTGGTGTGTCTCTAATAAAAATGTTCATCAACAAATTAAAGTCTCCTACAGGTCAGATGTACTGTCATGTCATTCTAAGTGTGTGTAAATCAAACAGTTAAAGTAGAACTGGCAGGTTGCAATTCAGGCAGGTCCATTACCGAGGAAGCTTTTGAAGATGTATTCACTCTAGTCAAAGTTCGCCATAAATCACAGTCAAGAGAACAAAGCATTTTAGCATTTTGTGTTGTGACATTTATCATCTTTATCTGTAGAGCAAACAAGACGGCTTGTAAGGGCTCCTCTGTGGCCCTGTGCGAGTCTGAAGTGTATTTTTAGTGGCCGATACCGGTCATGGGTGGTTTGTAAAGCAAACAGCACAGGTTTGCAGTGAGTAAAGTGTACTGTGCTTTTACGCCTTGTGTAAACATTCTAAGTATGCTCCATAGATGTGCATTCAACGGCAGAGGCCCCAGCACTCCTTGGAAGTATTATTGAACATTTGACTCCTTCAGTCTCACTGAATAAATTGAACTTGTTTCATCACGGTAAAAGGGCATGGTTGTCGAAACATGCCGATTTGAATGGATTCTACAAGCACAGGCAGAGCCCTCTACTGGGATCTATGACGTTCCAGGTCCACTACCATCCGGTCATCTTATTTCTGCATACCACGACACCAAGTGGCGTCCTGGGGCTACCGGAATGACCTCCGACTGCTTCTACCTGTGGTTTGAGTAGAGTATCACCCATAGAGTTCAATAGAAGGCGGAGCCTGTGTGAGTTGGAACTGTTTTCTACGTCCTTATTCATCTTCCTTGACCTTTCTCATAAAAAAGTATTTTTTTTGTTTTTCCTGTGAAAAATGTGTTTGCTGATGGGGAATCTTATTGTTTCTGTTTGAGCTGATTAACAAGCATAATTATAATTTCAGCATAATTGGTGACTGTGATTCCATCAAATGTGAATACATGTACATACAGTATATGACTGGGATTTGGTTTAAATTTAGTGCACTTATCAGGAACAACCTAGTTGAGCATATCTTTACGATGTTCAAAAGTATGTAAGCCAACAAGAAAAACTGTCAAACCTTATGGAAAATATATGTATTTTCGAATTACAATAATAAAAGCACGAGAGTTGAATATTTTTGGAAGCGGAATGGGGAGCACTAGTATATTAATCAATCATGCTAATAAAGTTCTGTCACTGACACAAATATGTATGAAGTGTAAAATAAGCCATGAAAGGTGCGCGCATGGATTTACAAACAATGCAATGCTTTTAGTTTCATCATATTTGTTATTAAATACTGAAGTACTGCTTCCAATTGCCTGTTTAAAGGCACGAGAAATATGTTTTAGGTCTGTAAGAATTATTGCTAACAACTGTTGGCATATAGCTATTTATTTTGAATATGTTAAACTTTGATTATTCAGAATTGGCCTTGCAGCTTGCCAGGCTCATGTAGAAGTATGAACTCTGACTCAGTCTCACCACCTGTTCAAATTAAGACAAAAATAACAAAAGCCTTTGGAGCATGTTCAGGGTGTCTGCCTTAATTGCAGGGACATATTCTTATTACATACAGTATGCTTGTGAAAACACAGGCTCTGGCTGGTCTGCAAGGAACCGCACTTTGCAAGTCTCCACAGGCTGTTGAGCTACTCCAGGCTAATTGTTGTGTGGCGAGGTGAGACACTGGCGGCCTAATTGGAGAACCTGTTATTTTCTCACAAGACCAAGTTCAGCTGTAGGTCACAGGAGTGGAGTGGTGTCAACCCTAGCCAGCCCCCCTCCACCCACTAAGACATACATTGCACACCTTCACCTGTCAGCTTAGCGTACGCTCGGGGTAGTTTGCAGGGGCTGATGTGAGAGGGGGAGTGGGCGTAGCTCATGGTGTGTCACCCTCATTTGTGTCATGACAGAGGAAGTTATCTCTAAATGTTGAGTGCAGGAGCAGCAGCAGGGCTTACTTATGTCAATGAAGGTGGAGGCTATCTACAACATGCATAATGCTCCCCATTGTCTTCAATAACAGTGGAAGAGAAGCGGTAATCATCGGCAATGTCACGGGGATCACCTCCTCTCCGAGGAGCGTGTGTAAGAAATGTGGCTGACTTTACCTGTTGCTATGATTCTGTTGAGCAAGACGTGTGTTAAAGCAAGTCTGTCTGGTGTAAAACTTTGTCAAGGCTCAAGTTTTCAAACTCCTACGAACAAACACATGTGGCTCAGATTATTCAACCTACAAAGCAAGAACTCTCAGTCTGTATGTGGGTATGTCCTTCGCATATCTCAAGAACTGGTCATCTGATCTACTTCACCCAAGTACGAGCAGTTTAAAAATTTGGTTCCGGTTTATGCAGTGCTGTTATCTGTTTAAACACAACTTCCTCGTATCATTATGGATAATTGACAGGCCTTTGTGCATAGTTCATTCCAGATCCTAATCTCTTGACCTGATTCTTGTGTGACATCAGAACATATCTAGGAATGTCATCAGAGGGTGTCTCTGAGGTCTGATTGTATAGAAGTCTATGAGGCCTTCTTCACACTTGATTTATCCATCCATCCATCCATTTTCCTCCGCTTCCGGGGTCGGGTCGCGGTGGCAACAGGCCAAGCAGGCTGACCCAGACTTCCCTCTCACAGGCAACATGTTCCAGCTCATTCTGGGGGATCCCGAGGCGTTCCCGGGCCAGCTGGGAGATGTAATCCCTCCAGCTTGTTCTGGGTCTTCCCCGGGGTCTCTTCCCAGTTGGACGTGCCTGGAAAACCTCCAGTGGGAGGCGTCCAGGAGGCATCCTAATTAGATGCCCGAACCACCTCAGCTGACTCCTTTCGACGCGAAGGAGTAGCGGCTCGACTCCAAGCTCCCTCCTGATGACTGAGCTCCTTACCCTATCTCTGAGGCTGAGCCCGGCCACCCTACGGAGGAAGCTCATTTCGGCCGCTTGTAGCCGCGACCTTGTCCTTTCGGTCACGACCCAGAGTTCGTGACCATAGGTGAGGGTAGGAACGTAGACCGAGTGGTAAATTGAGAGCTTTGCCTTCCGGCTCAGCTCCCTCTTCACCAAGACGGTCCGGTGCAGCGCCTGCTTTACAGCCGCACCGATCCGTCTGTCGATCTCCCGCTCCATCTTACCCTCACTCGTGAACAAGACACTTGATTTATCACCTCAGTAAACATTGTGAACAGCATTATGTTAATTTAGTAAATTACGGTTCCATTTAAAATAGACAATAAAACAGGAAACGCTTTAGGGTGTGGCTACCTTGTGATCGACAGGTCGCTATCAGAGCCGTAGACGGCGTCGCTACGTCACTCTTCCGCACTCCAGATACGATCACGACCGCAAACTGGATGCAAAAAACCAAGATGGCTGTGGCCAAAATGCCAAAGTTGAGGCTTCAAAACTGCAGCCCACAAATCAATGGGTGATGTCACGATGACTATGTCTACTTCTTATTAACAGTCTCTGGTTTAATCCACAACCTGTTTGCTAACAGTGGCAGAGAGATGTCCCAAGTATACAACTACCTACATGTAGACATCACGCACCATCTATTGCCCACTAGAGGTAACTTGCACAGATATAAGCAAATAAAAGATGAATGTACATTCTAGATGAATGGAAGTCAATGAACATGTTTACTTTCTTTTAAAAATCAATGTCAAAGAGCAGGACCTCCACCAGTTGAGATAGTGTCTGAATTGTTTTTCCAGAAGAAGCATCTAAAATGTAAATGAACAACTGGGAAACAACCCAAAGAAGCATTCATGTGTTGCCAGGACCTTATGAATCGGATTTTCTTTGAATCACTTCCGTCATTTACGCAATCATCCTTAACACAGATGCTTTGGCTCTAAGTGCCCAAATCATTTCTCAGTTCATCCCCTGTTGAAGTACTATGGGATCTTTCAGCCTAATGCATTTAGTGCTTTAATTACAGTGCTGCCCGCCTCCCTGTCGTCTTTTGATAGCCCATGCTCTGGTCAACATGTCTGGGAGACGACGACACTGCCTCCCACCTCCAGGCTCTCAAGCTCATAAATCAACCAGTAAGCACGTGTGTGTGTGTGTGTGTTTTGCTGCAGCGATATTGAAGGGCTTGTTATGGAAGTCATGATTACTGGCTCAGAGATGTACATCGGCCTTCTGAGGAGATGGGCAGTAATAGACCTGTCAGTTGAGTTTTACCCAGGAGCTACCGTGTGCTGCTGTGTCCAAATTACTGCCGACTCCCCCAAACCCCATCTACGATCCCAGTCAGTAATGACTTAACCCCTACACTGGTAACGGCCTATACATGTGTGGATGTAATGGATATAGCAGTGAGTTTGAAATGTTTTGCTCCTTAGCTGTAAATCATGTAAACTTCACATTTTTTTGCAAACCGTATTTTATTGCACGTCTTTAGTTTTGTTTTTATCTTTTTCAAATGAAGAGAATCGAAGCTCAAAGGTCCACTGATTGTCGAATGATTCAGAGCTTTAAAGCCAGCCACGTCGCCCCGGGAGTAGCCTTCAACTATTCTGCACCTCTTGATTTACGTCTGCTGCCAACGTTTTACCTGCTAATGCAGGATGTACTGTGCCCTCGATGTAAGTAGGCGGAGAGGGAGGGTGTGGCGGTGAGGGTGATAGATGGGCCTGTAGCAAAATAACACATTTTTTCCTAAGTCTAACCCTTACTTAAAATATCTTAATAATACTGCAGTCACCAGATAATGTAATTAAACGTTATCTGTGATTTCGCAGAACCAGAATGGAACTGGCTCAGGTGAACTAAATGTGAACTTTCAGTCGTCACAGCACAAATCGTTCAGTCAATTACACATTTCTAGCCGTATATTTCCAATCACTGAGTTCCATACATTTTTTGTACGAAAGTCTCAGGATTCTTAAAACTTGTTTGAAACTTTGAATCTATTACGATGAACATCACACCAACCTTTTCACATGTTGCCAAAGTTACATTATCTTGTG